CATTCCTATATTTTGCCTGGGGCCCCCAATTCACTAAATCCGCCCCTGATTCAGATCACTAGTTTAGTGAATTTTAAAAGCAGCAGGATGCACGATGTGTGCAGCACATTTTATGGAGGACTGTTTCCTGATCCTGGTAGAGAAGACTACAATGCCGGCTGTTCTGACTCACAGACTGTAAGTACGTTTTTTTTATATGTAAAGAATTTGCCACTGACGATTCAAACGCGAGTTTTGAGCAGTGTAGAGTAGCGCTTGTTGTTTGTCATTTCTTCGATCACAAATGCAGACATGGTTTTATGTTTACGCGACGCGATGCAATGCAACACGTAAAAAGACAGTATAAGTCATTATAATCCATTATAACACCAAATACACAAAATAATGTTCTTTTTAGCAACACCATATGACCCCTTTAATATTAATATCGTATTATTAGTATTAGGTAATAGTATATAACCAAAACTATAGATAATTTTTGAGAAGGATCTACTATCATTCTTGATTCTTTGTATTGTTTTTAGCTTAGATTTTGCAAGCTAACTCGAGATGCCAGTTTAGCATTCTGCTAGCTAATTAGCCTGTTTATTTAACTTATAACACCCGTAGTTGTTAAATTGATATGATAATGTATCATATATTTTGTTTGATCAGGCATTACAAATGGCTACCCCAACTACCAAATTTAGCATACCACTAATCAATTAGTCCACTGGCTTAGCTTATACCCTTTGCAAATGTTTGATTTATATTTTAAACAGTAACTTATCTATTGTCTATTATCTATGTACTTTATCTGTTATACTTGTGTATATACTTGTCAGGTGTTACAAACAGCAACCGCAGCTATAGCCTAACAGGGAACTAGCTTTGCGAAACGCTAACCAATTAATCCACTATCTTAGCCTACACATTTTTATATCTATGTTTTTGTTTGTTTAGGAATTACCCTTTCAGTTAACTAGCTTAGCATACCGGTAGCCAATTAGCCTGCTAGCATGTGTGTGTGTGTGTGTGTGTGTGTGTTAAGCTACCTTTTCAGTGAACCAGCTTAACACACCACCACTAGTCAGGTAGCCTGCTAGTTTAGCCTATACCCTTAGTAAATGTTTAATAATTAATTTTTATACATATAAGTCCACCTACTATCCTTGGATACTCTTTGTAATGCCTAATCAAACAGTATCCAAGGATAGTAGGTGGACTTAATGGTAAGATTGAATTGTTCATGACACTATGAATCAAAAAAGCTGCCTTTTAGTTACAAGATCATGTAGTTACAACATCTACCAGCAGAGGCTAACTGGATCAGTGGTTGCGGCTGCAGCCATTTTTGTTCTTTTTACTTGATGCCACACCTGCCAAATAAAGGAAATGCATTATCACCACAATAGGCTCCAACGTTGTGCATTTTTCTCTGTCTATTGGTATATTACATTTACTTGTAATTTACTTTAAACCCTGCAGTTAGTTAAAACACCAAGAACAACCACTCAATGACCTACATTTCTCATTTTAATTCCCAAAACAAACTCATGTGACCATTCGCTTCACTCTTTCCAAGCAGTATCCTATTAGAGGATTAGATTAACTCTCTTCTACATTTCCTCCAATCAGATTCGAGGACACGGTGCTGACATGGGCCAGAGGGTGCTTATAAGAGATATGCTAGTTTAGGGGCTTACCTGAGATCAGTTTTTGGTTTGCCTTAAAAAGGCTATGGTTTGTGTCTGTAAGGCAACAGCTCACCCTTGATCAGCTGCATTGGCCTATCGCTGGTTCCGAGCTAATCCTGCCTTCATCTCATTATTGGATCTGCTGCTGTTTAGCTGCTCAGACCTGGCATAGCCATGGCATTGGCTTTTGAAAGCAACAAGTTAGATGCGGTCACCTCTAAAGTCAAAGAATCACAGTAAACTGTTACTTATGTAGCATTAGATGTACCAGAAATAGA